ATTCCCCTTTCCAGCATCAACTAACTCTAATAGCAATAGAGAAAAAATGGCTGCATTTCCATCTGTTGTCAAAGCAAGAACATCTGATGTTAGCAGTGTTGACAGCTCCATTATAACTGGGCTCCTTTTAAATATAGGTTTAACATGCTCCAGAAAAATATCAACATCATCTTCAAAAGCAGCCTAAAAAATGGCTGACAGGCATAGGTGGGGTTCATTGTGAAGGAGCAAGGAGAGAATCTCTGCTCTTTCTGTTTCACTGGGCAACTGCCACTGTTGTTTAAACTAATCTAGGCTTCCAACCTGAAAGAATAATGCCCAGAGACTGCTTGGAAGGGATATATATCCTTGTACCAATCTAAAATGGCCGATGGAAGCCATGCCGATCTCATACCGAGGGGAACTGAGCAATGGCTGACACAGTACATTTGCTGATATCCAAGGGAAAGCCTATGCTGGCATAGGGGGAAAACACCAAATTAACAATGGTAGAGCTATGGATGATTTAAGGTGGCCTCAAGTATGGGCTGGTGAAGGAAATGTCATAAGCTACAACAAGTTGGTAGATGATTGTACCACAGTTAGTTGCATGTGAAGAAAGGTTTTCAGTTTATTACTGTGTAAAAGGGCAACATTTAGCTTCTCTGCCCAGTCTTAGAAGAGGATTGCTAGATATCTTTGCCCTATTCTTCCTTGGCCCCTATCCTGTTTTGAACTAACAGTAAGCATGTAAAATATGACTGTCCCTTACTTCTTAACATCTCTATCAGCATTTCTTAACTTCGGCAACTTTAAGAGAAGTGGATTTCAACTCCCTACCGACTATGCTGGTTGGGAAATTCTGGATGTTGAAGTTCACCTATCTTAAAGTTGCCAAGGTTGAGAATTGCTAGTCTATATTATTTGCAAAATAATCCAACCCACACCATGTTTTTTTTTAAAAAAAAATATGTTGACATTATTTATAGAAAACAAATATTTTCTATAAATAACAGATATTTAACCAAAATCACCTTCCAGATATCATATATTGCCTTATCTATAATGTCTCTTGACTCAATTAAAGAGTTAAAATGGGAAATATAAGTGGAAAGAGGAAAGAAAGAATTGAGACAAACATATTCAAAAATTTAGACATATTAAAAATGTGCTCGCAGCATGCTATTTAATGTTATTTTTTACTGCAAGTTCTAGAAAATCCTTATTCAAAAATTCAAAGACTATTGGATCAATGCTTCTTTTGCTAAGGAATGATTTATCTTAACTCCCATTGCAGTCCATAAACCTGTCATTTTGAGTATGTTGTTGTAACCTCCTGTTTTTAATGGAATGTGCTGAGGATCAAATCGAGGGCTGACCATTTTTAAGGCTGAGTCAAGGACAAAGATAATCTATTGCTTTACTTCTTGCCAGAATATGGCAAGGATAGGACAACATCATAACATATCAATTAAAGGTAATCCAGGTGCAGCCTATCTCCAGCAAGATCTGTAAATTCAGGTTGATGATATTGGTCAAAGGTCCAGTGAACACGCAAGGCAATTATTTCAAATTATGAATAATATAGGTCCAATGAGAATTAGATTAAAATAGAATTCCACTGCAATGAAGAATGTATAATCCAGCATCAGCACTATTCTACTTAAGCTGTGGAAAGATTTGTTCAGCACTCTATATAGGGTTGGTTAAGTTTATTAATTTCAAGATGGAGAAAGCATCAGGAATTTCCAATGCAATCTGAGCCTCAGGGCCAAGTTTAGCACCAGAGCTCAAATACTGCCAGATTGCTAAAGGTAAGCTAAATTCCAATTTAAAATCCAATTGTATCTAAGACAATTGCCTCCTATTATGTATTTCTCCAAACTGGTGTTTTCTGCAGAACTTTTGATCTTGCTCCTAATTTTATAGTGTGGTGATTTGTCCTAATAAGGGTGTATCTTTCTCTGGCGAGTATTTTCATTCCCAAGAAATCTACACAATACCTCTTTGATACCAACTCCAATCTATTCTACCCTGAAGTTAAAAGCAAAAGAAGATAGAATTGGTAAAAATTAAAGTATCACTAATTCCAGTGAAATCCATTTAAGCACATATTGAACTGTTTTGGATTATACCAATGGGTTATAACAGTGCATCAGTATCTTGGATCATTATTTCATGCCAGAAAACTTCAAAGCCTGCATTAGAAAAGAAACCGTATCAGAAGGCTTGCCTTTGCCATATATTTCAAACCAGTCTTCTTTCTTTGTGCAGTGTCTCCCGAGTAATCTTACTGCTGTGAAAATAGTCAGGTTCTCACAACATCAGCATTCTGATTTGATGAGCTCAGGTAGAAGCAGTTGCTGTTTTGTTTAGTTTTCTCTATCCAGTAAAGTGGCAAGGGAAATAATAAAGGAATACAAAACACAGAAAGGTATTATCTTAATTGCAAGATCACCTGATATATTTCCCTAGTGAGAGATTCCTTTCCAAAGAATAGCACTTTCTTAAAGGCAACATAACAGATTGCCTCAAACTTGCAGTGCAGCCAAAAATATCAGACTTCTGGTCAGTGCAGGTCCTGGAAAACTGTATTTTCTGATTCCATTATAGCTACTCTGAATAAAGACTATCTGGCCCTGCCAAAGATGAAACCATTCCCACAGACCCCCTCCCTCAATCCTCCAACACTTCTAGTATGTATTTGCTGACTTGACAGAAGGTAGAAAGTTCACATTTATTGAGTTCATCTGTGCTTTCAAATTGTTTGGGCTTTGCTTTCTTCTCCTTGGAAATCAGGTTCATTCATACATGGTCATCCTGGTTAAAGTCACAGCAGTTGCCGTACAGTAATATAATACACTACATTTTGTTACTTTCAAAATGTGGTTAGTTTTTCTGCAGCTTATCTTGCTAGGTGAACCTATAGTCATGCAAAACACTTAACCTGGTTTTCTGGGTTTGTTGAGTAAACTAACCAAGTGGGCTTGATTCACTCAGGGTTCTAAGACACAAAAAAGTGTCTTAGCATGTGGAGTATACGGCCCTGCTACTCTTTTAATCAATGCAGCTAAATGTATTGTATGAATGAAGTCACCAAATAGAAGGGGAAAAAAACTATATATACAGTACACCAAGTGCAATGTATTTTTTTAAAGTAATGTTCTGTCCCATTGGATTGGAATGGAAGCCTGTTGTGAGATTTAAAAGATTTGGAAGCCTACTTTTACGCTGGGAATTATGGGGAGTCAAAGCTATTCACATCTGCAAAGCACTAGATTTTGGAAAGTTACAATTATGTAATGTAAAAGTTCCACTACTGTTCTTGATTTAATGCCCAATATTTAATGCCTTCATGTATGACATTATCAGAAATCTCATTAGGTAGAATTCCTTAATCGTTCCAACTCTGGCAAATTCTTAATGACTAACACTGCAGATGTAACAATTGTTATGGGAAAATAGGCCACCCTATCTTTGTTAAAGTGGAATGAAAATCTAGCTTTGTGAAGATAAATAATGAAAACAGATAACTTTATATCAGATTTTTAAGAAATATTATATGCATGCTCCTACTTTAATAACTTAAAGTATACAAGCATTTAAGCCCTAGAAGAGACATCTCATGCAGTTCAATAGCAGAACCATATTTAGACATCCATTTCCACATGTATACAAATCTATGTATTGTATAGTTGATATAACAGTGACACAAAAACTCCATACACTAATTGAAAAACTCAAGAGATTAGGGAGATCTGAACTGCAATAAAAATGAAGATTCTATTTTATTTTAATTATAATACTAGTGTACACAGCTCATGACACAGAGATCCATTGTGTTCATATATCATACTTAACCTGGTTAAAGTCATAGCAGTTGCTGTACAGTGCTATTATTAGTAGTTAGAACTATGTAATGGGAATATATTAAATGATACTCAGCCACATTTTGAAATAATCCATTATTTCATAATATATAAAGTAGTCACAAACATGATTTTACATATTTATTCTTTATTGTATTGCACAAAGTATCTACGCAATTCAGGGACATCACAATATTCCCTGAAAACCAATTGCTCTAGCACAACCTCTTCTGAGCATTGTAACTAGTTGGTGCTTCCTTCTAAAATGCAAAAGAATCCATCACACAATTTTAGACATTTGTCAATATTAATAACTGAAAGGACAACGTTAAAAGATCAAAATATGGATTTTATGTGAATGCACACAAATATACAGTTTATACTCAGATTCTCAAAAAAAAGGAAAGAAACAACAGTTCTCTGGTGCAATCACAAGAGTTTCTGTTTGTAGAAGTTGTTAAAAGTGTAATGTGCATAGAAACAGATTTCAGCTCATAAAATAATGCAGTTTTAACTTCACTTTATTTCTTCAGATTGTCTAGTACTGAAAATGTATTGGCATAAGAGCTTTCCCAGGAATTGCCCTTAACTTCAGTGGCACCAGTTTGTATTGGCTACACATTCTTAATAGTTGAACAGAAAAAGCCATTCCCATTTCAGCTTTAGAACTACACATTAACACTAAACAATAACAGTGCAGCCAGAATGAAAAACATTGCTAATATAATAATAACAACAATAGTTATAGTAGTACTAGTAAAAAGAATTTCATCATTCTGGGGAGTTACAAATAATTTTGAACTAATTATTATTACTTTACTTCATAAAACCTCTGCCTAGCATACATGGAATCTTTGAGAATCAAACACTTTCTGATTTTCAGAATAAGTTCAAATATTACGTTGACATCTCTTGTTTTAATGAAATATTTTAATACAGCTGAAAATTGTGTCATTAAAATATGTACTCATTTGAAAACATTTGCCATGCTAAAAAATATGTAAAAAAATAGTTTAAAGTCATTTGTTTTTAGAAAACATGTCAATTGCAAAAAGAACCAATTTTTATATACAAACAAAAGGCACAATCCATCCGAGGGTAAGCCTATTTCTTTTCCATTTATTCTCAATAGCTGAGATATTTAAATATTTACTTATTTTTCTCATTCAAATGAGTTGAGGCTTGACACCTTTTTATTAATAAGCAAAAACATTGGGAAACGATTGCAAAAATCAGTATGCATTAGATTGCAACTTTAATCGCTTGACATTGGATGGATGGTGTCTGTACATTTCAAATATATTTCTTTGAAGAAAACTGAGATGGCACAAAGCAGCAAGTTCTATGATTTGTTTTTGTCCATTACACTCAGTACTTCATCCAAAAGTGAGGGTCCGAGGTCAAGCTGCAAAGAAAGGAGGGGCTCTGCCAGGTCTGAAAGAGGGTCGTCTAATTTAGGCTGCATCTTGGTTTGATCACATGAAAGATGAGGGTTGTCAAGGAACTCCTCTGTTTGCCATTTGGTATATTGTTCTGAATGGCTAGTTGAATGGCTGTCTGTTCCATTAGTATAATATGATGCTGGCGCTTTCTGCTTCCATGTGATGTCATCTCTGTATATTTTCCCATTCTCCAAGTGTTTGCTCTTCTCCTGCAACTTTTCTTCCATTACCGGCTCACAACTATGCCTGGGATTCCTCAGGGGTCCCAACGAGTCCCGCTTTGAATTAAATGTCACTGGTGACAACAAGGGCAACATAAGGGCTTGAGAACCACCGATGGCAGGAAGCGATATGGCATTTTTAAGGACGGGAGAAGGAGTTTCAATAAACACTGAGTCAGAAGTGCTGTTTGCCCTTAGGAATTCATTGCATCCTTCATATTGGCTGGCTGCTGTTTCTCCCTCATTTCCAGGTAGAAGCTCATAATTTCCTTTCAGAAAAGAGATGTCTCCAAACACATCATGTTGTCCTTCTTTCCCAATATGAATTGTGTGGCGGAAGTCACCCAAAGGTGGACTGATCATATCAGGAGACAAAATGTCCCTCAACTTGAATTTCTTTCCTTTCTTATTATTGTCAGCTTTCAAGTAGATGGGTGTCTTGGCTGGCATCTTTTGACAATATGAGGAAAGAGAAGACTTTGTCTTCCTTGTTAAAAAAAGGGGGTTCAAAATACTCTAGGCGTACAAATTCTTTTTCTCCAACAACTCCTTTATGTATAGTATAAATCTATGTTACATTATTGATAGCAGCATCATTTATAAAAACATTCATATAACTGCCACTGATTCTGTCTCACAAACAAAATTTTAGAAGCTGGGTTGTTTTTATGTATAGTATGTTTCTTCAAGGTGACTGAGGCAGCTAGAATGCTGTGTTGTTTTCTCTCCCAACCCTGTAAAATAAAACAAAAAAAGCTTAGTATTTACTGTCTATAATGTATTCAATCTCTATTGCAGAAACAATAAATGGTACTTTTAATAGTTCTGGCATGATTAGCTCTGTGAAGTAGCGTTTCTTCGTTAAGCAAGATAAAAAAAATCTAACTAAGAGCTAACTAGCCTTTTTTTTCTAACTTGGCTCCCTGGACATAGTTACCAAACATAACTATCTTAATAGATTTACTATTTTGGATTCTCGTTTTTTTGTTCTACCATGGAATGGAATTCTTATGTTTAGCGCTCATACCTAAGGACATTCGACTCATCCAGATGATTAGTTCAAATACGGGTCTAACTTCCTATTTCTATAATCTGGCAAATTCTCTTTCAAGTATTATTTCATGCAGAGAGTTTAATGAGTTGGGGTGGCTGTCCTGGTTTGTGTGGTATATGTGTATGCACATCAACATACAGATGCAGAAAATTCAGGCTGCAAGTGGAGATTAAATATAAATATTGAAATCATAATCTTAGTATTAAAACTGTAGTTTCAAACCTTGTTGACATGTTTTGTTCCTATACAAATTTGCTTTTAGCAGCTGGCTTCCAATTTTAGGGCAAAACAATTTAACAAAATGAAACCCTGATTAAATTATCAGTTAAAAGCCACCCATTGAGATCTAGACTTGTTATAGTAACCAGTTGAATAATAGCTTCCTCAGCAAACAAGTAGATGTGAAAAGATGCGAAAGCAGATTTCAATCAAGGATTCAAATTAACTTACTATTCCGAATTTAACATATTTCATAAAGAAGACACACGCTAAGTAATGGTTATTCTAATACATACAAAAGTATAAGCAGCTCTTCCCATAATAAAATGAAGTAAAGGGAGGCACTTAAAAAAAAGAAATAAAAAATTACCAGAAATATACAAAAATGTAGTCCAATTATATAACAATAGAAAAAGAAATAACTGAATATTCTAAATCAGAAGTCCTTAAATTTCACAACAACACAGTCCTATAAAATTAAAACATGATTCTTCAAAATTCTCAGAATGTTGCTCTTAACTAAATATATAGTAAATAACTCATTTTCAAATATTAGAAACATAAGAAAGAAAAATATGCTGAAACTAAGAGTAACCTACCATGGGGAAAAGGAAAAAAATGTAACTTTGTAGGATTGAGTGAAGCCAACTGCCTTCAAGAAGGAACTGTATTGTGAAAAGCAAGGGAAAAGAAAATATTCCCAACAATTAAATGAGGAAAAGATCCAAATGGCTTTCACAACAAGTTATCATGATAACCAGAGAGAGGATGAAAGCCTTGAGCAATGAGATAGAGGCCTGCACAATGACTGAATACAGGCTTTTATCTTCAAGCAAGAAAGAATAAGAAAAGCTATGTAAATCAAGAATGTCAATAAACAGAGGAATATAACCAGAAAACGGAAATGAGCGCTCTTTTAAGAGAAATCACAGGAAAATATACCTAAATAGGTAGAACAGGAATGCTCTCAAGAGTAAGGATGATCTGACAGAACAAATGAGATTAAAGAAAAGCAGAAATTGGAGCTCAGGAACAGATACCGTAAATATGTACATGTACTGAAAATGCAAATAGGAGATTAAGGAGGAATGCAACAAAAAAAATAGATAAGATTATGGAGGATAAGGTTATTTCTGTAACAGCAAAGACTGGAACAGTTAGGCAATAGTTTTTCTAGTAGTAATATGTGAAAGACGAACACTGAAAAATAAGAGAAGAAATAGAAATGTCTTTAAATTATGAATTTGAAGTCAAATTCTGAAAATAACAAACTTTAAGAAGAATCAATCAATCATGCAAAGGTCCCTCATGATATATTTAAGATTGCTTGAATTGGTTTGTTAAGGTTTGTTAAGAGTATGCCTGCACTCTTCATGTTCTCAGATCTGATTATTATTCCTACAGTTAAAAAGCAGTAAAAAAAAAATACATGGTTGCTTTTTCTGTCCTTGCTTCCCACAAGGATAAAAAAAATCCAAAATATACCACAGATATTATTTCATCTTTTGAAAAAAGTTGGATGGTAATCCGTATTGAAAATAGAAGGAAACATAATCTGTGGCCCTCTGGGCTTCTGTAACTTCAAGCTGAAAAATGTGCTAAGGAAAAGAATGTTGAAGAGATTAGTCCTCTTTGTCTGATATGCCTGTTAGCTAAGGGCCTGATAACATACTCTAATCTAAAAACAACAACAACAACTGTTTTTCAATGGGTAAGAACAAAGTTATGCTTCCATTGTTTCCTGTGAGGATTTATTTTATTGTTTTCAAAAATGTTTAAAAATCATAGTCTATGCTAAATTTTCTGCAATTTAAGTGGTAGGCAGCACTCCACATAGACTACTACCCGATTGCTTGCAGCCTTGGGCAAAAAATCAAGTAGCTGATCAAAAATACCTAAATCATATACTTATTTAAGGGACAACAGTTTAGAATCAAAATCATGTCCTTATTCTAATTCATTTTGATTTTTACAAATCATTTATAGGGTAAAGAAATAGATCTCTAGAGATATTTCTAGAGATATTTGGAATAAAAATCTTTCTAATCAAATGCATAAAGCAGTAAAAATATCCTACCCTGGTTCTACTCTAAATGCTCAGAATTTGAACACAACAGCTTAAAGCAGGGGTGTCAAACTGCCGGCCCACGGGCCGGACATGTCACTAGGAAACCATGCCCACCCCATTGCCGGCAATGGGGAAAAAGCTCCGATACATTGAGCGACGTCACATGACATCGTGGGTTTGACATGTCTGGCTTAAAGTATAACACAGGATCCAATCTGGGTCAGACACCGGGACCAGATGTTTAGTCTTCTGAATTTTCGGATTCGTACTGGAGCCCATCCTCAGGGAACTTCTCAGGAACTGAAAACGTGGAAAACTAAACCTCTGGTTCCGGTGACCGACCCAATTTGGATCCTGCAAAATTATCCTGCTATATATATTTGCCTCCATTCTTAAGCATAACACAATCCACATATCTCTTATCCTGAAGATGCCTCTCTGAGCCCTCAAAATATGTGACTGGAAAAATATGTGTGCATTTAAACGTGTGTATTTAATAAGCATTTAATTTAAGAGCCAAAGTGACACAGTGATTAGAATGCAGTATTGCAGGCTAACTCTGCCCATAGCCAAGAGTTTGATCTGATTGGCTCAAGGATGACTCAACCTTCCATCCTTCCAAAGTCAGTAAAATGAGAAGCCAGATTGTTGGGAGCAATATGCTGACACTATAAACTGCTCAGAGAGTGCTGTAAAGCAGTGCTTTTCAACCCATGGTATATGTATCACTGGTGGTACTTGAGCACCTGGTGGTATGCGTATGACGGGTTGAAAAACACTGTAAAAAAGTGTAAGTGTAGAGGGGAATGAGCTAAAGCGGCTGCAGTGCTGCACAGGCCTGTGGGAGAGTCAGCTGGAGCTGCGGTATTGCCGGGGCTCTGCTGAGCGCCCAGGATTGGTGCATGGCTCAAACTGATTGGTGCTTCCAGGAGCAGTACGCAGCCTGGGGGAAAGAAGTCAGCTGGAGCTGCACTGAAGAGAAAAGGAGGAGGAGGGGGGTTAAAGGAGAGGATATAAAAGGAGGAGGTTTTGGCGGGAAAGGAAGAGAAAAAAAGACAATGGGGAAAGAGAAGGGGACGGAGGAGAGGCTTCTTTGAGACAAGCAGAGGGAGAGAAGGGGATAGAACAGTGCAGAGATTAACAGGCACAAGTTTCCCAGTAAAAGTGTGGTAAGTTGGTGTACAGATAGTCCTCAACCTATGACCACAATTGAACCCAAAATTTATGTTGCTAAGTGAGAAATTTGTTAAATGAGTTTTGTCCCATTTTATGACTTTTCTTGCCACATTTGTTAAGTGAATCACTGCAGTTCTTAAATTAGTAACGCGGTTGTTAAGTGAATCTGGTTTCCCTATTGACTTTGCTTGTCAGAAGGTCACAAAAAATGATCACATGACCCTGAAACAGTACAACCATCATAAATATGAATCAGTTGCCAAGCATCCAAATGTAAATCATGTGACCCTGGGGATGCTGCAACGGTCATAAGTATGAACAATGGTCATAAGTCACTTTTTTCAGTGCTGCTGTAACAGTCACTAAGTGAACTGTTGTAAGTCAAGGACTACCTGTACTTTATCACTTTTTTCCTTTTTTTTGGTAATCAAGTTTTTGACACATTGTTAGGCGACTGGTGGTACTTGAATATTGCCATATCTTCAAAGTGGTACAAGGTGAAAAGGTTGAAAAGTCCTGCTGTAAAGCACTATGGAGCAGTATATAAGTCTAAGTGCTATTGCTATTTAATTTAACAAATTAACTGTTTGTGACAGATTGACTTATGGGAAAAGCTCACCTTTTGTCTTTATAATGTTGCAAAGTTTGTGTCGTAGCAGTAGAGGGTAGATCTGAAAGAAAAGAAAAGGCAAAATTGAAATAATATTATACATGATAAACGTGTATTTTTTTAAATACACATGTCCCTTTTATATTTTTATAATCCTCTCCTGTCTCTTCAGTGCTTCTTCCATTGACTTATTTCAAATCATTTCATGTGAACCAATGACAGGTTTTATACAACAATATGAACATTAATTATCTTATAGATTATGTAAGGTTCACTAACTGATTAGGAGAAAATTTCATTTGAAATACTGAAATCAGTTATGAAGTCCACACTTACAAAACTATAGTGACAATGACAATTTAGAACACAGCTAGATAACAAAAGCTACGTTACTCATTGTTTAGATTTACACAATTCTTTTCCAAGTTTGCAACAGAATGTGGAAATTTAGAAATAAGGCAAGCACCTAAAAAGAAAAGACTTTAACTATTAGTGTGATCTAGGTAAGTTTGAAGTTAGTCATGTTGACCATTTAAAAATATTTATGGTATTCTCAGTTTGTAAATTTCAGTTACATCTGTGGGATTTATTTTAAAATAGCTATGCTTAGACTAACTTTCCTTAAATCTCACTTTGAATGTCTTTTATTGTAATCAATAGGCTTGAACCTTTATTTCATTAATGAAACCATCTGCGTGGGGAGAGTTGCAAGCATTATTTTAAATAAATAATTGAACTGGCATGTCTTTATCTCTGTCTTTTTCTCTATCTCAAGTGAAGCAGACAAGCAGTCATTAGAAAGAAATACTATATGTATAAATATTTAATGTTTTTATTCTTCATTTAAAAAAAACAATCAATTTATTTTTAATATTTAGATATTAAAATTATAGAGAATATGAGGGTTGCAGCCTCAAGAATTTTTTGCCATATAATCCAAATATGTAAGACTGGAGAATATATCAATAAATAAAATTTATGAATTATAAATAACCTAGTTTACACTTGGATTTTCTTTTGCTAGAGTCCCCATATATGATTTGTGAGCTGCTATTCAACCTACTGTGGGAAATTTACAAGTTTGTTGATGGATTTAAGGTAAACATGAGCAGAAATTGGTATAAATGTTATGAAACTGGAATGGTGAGAGTTGAACTTTTTCAGTAGGCTTGTGAGTTTTTCCATTTACCCATTACAAATTGGATAGGCCTGAAAATTATGACTTTGTAGAGTTTCCTTGCCCAACATCAATAGTTATTCTTCAAATGTTATGAGATTAGTATAAATGTTTGTGTAATAGCTGCCAGGAAAGGACACTAGTACTGTAAGGCTATTGTGGAAAACTGTGTGCATATAAATCTGAGAAACCTGTGCAAATAATGGCTGGTGCAGAAAGCATGAAACCAGTTTTATATCTTCAAAAACGCAAGAAATAACATCACACTAGATTCAAAATATTGCATTGAATTACTGAAAAGACAGGCAAGAAAATACACGCAAACCATTATCTTTAAGCTAGTTTATTGCTTATATTTTACATAAGGCAATGTTTACTCTGTATATTAGCCTTGGAGGTTTAATTCAGTAATCCCACCTCTGCATGCCACATGTATCTTGCACTGATCTATGTTAGCCTTTGTAGCACAGAATTGCCTTTAAAAATCCAAATATAGCAGTTATATGTGTGTCTCTCTCTCTCTCTCTGTGTGTTTGTGTATGTGTGTACAATATGTCAAAATATGACATGATGATCACAATTAAAAAAAAATAGTAAGAAAGTAAAATGAGCAAAAATGCATAAATTTGCATGGCAGTATATAAAAATTCACCTGTAGTATTAATTTTAAATTATCCATAGCAGAGGTAACTTATTACCATAATTAAACAAGGGAGGCCAAATATGAGTTGACCAATTGTTAAGTAAAGGGTTCTTCAAAATGTTTTGTTGAATTGTTAATTTTGCTGGTAGTATTTTCTGTGTTTTAAATACAATTTATCCCTGAATGATAGATGATGTACTTTATTTTTCCATTATTTTTCGACAGTAAATTTGGCAATTTACACAAAGCCCATTGTGCCATATTGATGGTAATCCAAATGGTTCATTAGCATTAATGGATTTCATGAAGCTATACATTTTCCCTTTCCTCAAAACCTTTGATCAAATTTTGGTTAATCAAGAGAATTAACGAAATGGAAATTGTCACCATAGATGCCAATATGTACTAATGTTATAACATATCCAACGCTAATCCAGAAAGACCTTGATAAATATAATAGATATTTGAGTGGTTGTAGTATCATCTATGAATTCCTGAATATTTTGCCAAAATATATTTGAAGAGAATTTTGTATCAAAAATGACTTTCAATCTCAATCACTAACAACAAATCTCAAATTCTCTTTCTGTACCATTTATAGACTTTTTAAAAAGGTTGTTACTTTCATTTAAATTTTGGGAATAATAGTAAAGACATTTCAAAAACTATGAACAATCTTAATTGATAAGCTTTCATAAATATAAGAAGAAACAGCAATACAATCTTACATAATCTGACCGGGTTGGAACCTGTGATTAAGTCTTCGGCAAAATGAATTTAATAAGGTTAGGTTTCTCATCAATAATAAAATCTCTTAATCTATGTTTCCATTCCTTTAACACTGCACATTTTAGTTAAAATTCATCTACATATTTAAACTGTGGGTGATTATAGAATGAGAGGAGAAAAGGCTAAAAATATTTTTGACCTTTTCCCAACTTTTAATATATGTTTTTTATACCTGTCCATTATCAAATCGATAATACTGTTCTAACAGAAAGAGTTCAACTTGTACTAACTCAGTGAACATATTTTGAGTTCTGAATATATATAAAAGTATCACATTATTTCAAATTTAAAAAACCAATTTGTTTTTTAAAAACAACTCTGTAAACAATTTCTTTGCAATGTAAAATATCAAATAATATAAAGTGAATTGGAAGCACTTGAAAAAGGAACTGCATTTTAGGAAATGAATAGAATAGAACAGAACAGAACAGAACAGAACAGAATAGAATAGCTATTCTATCTAGTACTTATGAAAATGAAGATAAAAATTAAATTTTGTTTTAAATGCAGCCAAACCTGTTTATAGTTGTTCTTAAACAGCTAAATCCAACTAGACTAAATACATCTTTGAAATTCTTTGTCAATGTTGACTATGAAAGTTATTCATCTGAGTCATATTTTTACAGTTTGGATGGAAAATGCAATAGTCATTTGCAATCACACTACATTAAGTTTTTTTTTAATGAAAATCATGAAGCTTCTTATTCATTTTAATAATCCCTGTTAACATTTCTATAATGAGATGAAACAAATTGGAGGGATATCCTTGTTTAGTAACCAAATTTATTTATTTATTTTTTTTAAAAAAAATCTGCTCTATTAATCTTTACTGCTTATGCCAAAGTTTAACAAAAAAATTATGTCCGAATTTCCATTTTAAACTTTTCTGAAGAACATAATGTTCATATAGCACAATATACCCAAACGACAAAAACACATTTTTTGTTGGGCATTGTTTATTACTGATCCTTACATGTGTTGGAAAATTGCTATAGATAATTTCCAGTTTAGTTTGCCCAGCACACTCCCAATCAATTCCCACATCCAGATTACAGCAAGTGCACATGCCACTCAGCACAGGTAGCATAAATACAGCTTGATGTTTATTAAACATCAGTAAACGCCAAATACTGTATGGATAATAATACTGTGGGAATTAGCATCAACAATCCCAAATGGAGTGGCCGTGGTTTATTCCAGGTTTAATCTTTTTTATGTACATAATGGCAGCAAAATAGAGATGGAATATATGGGACAGTAGGAATCCCTCCTCTATTTTGCACCATTAAAGAAACAATTTGATGGGTGGGGATGATGTATCCAACAATAGATTGTATGGATGAATCACAGAAGGCTGATTCAACATTTTCATGGTTGGGTGCCGCTTGGCAACTCCATCTATGTTAATCTTTTATATAATTAAAGGTTAATACCCTAAATATCCCAAGTAA